GATAGTTTATTAGTATAAACTTGGTTACACCACAGTCCACAGAATATATTAATTATTATATATTATTATGTGTTTAAAAGTTAATCAGTATGTTTGTAATTTTAGTTCCAGTTATGATAAAACAATTGTAGGGAATGATATTGTATTTTCAATCTTGGTCCATGATTGGGCTTAATTTTAATATTTTCACCGGGCGCAAAAATTCTTAGTTCCGCCTCTGGTGCCAAGGGGTTTATATTTGTCATATATCATTAAAATAAGTCCAAGAGGAGTAAAAATACAGTAGGTAGTTATTAAGATTAAAAATTATTAGAATGATATCCCCTCGATCTTTATTTAAAATTCAACACTGTCTTAAAATTATAACTATAACTATATATTATTATTATTAGATTTATCATATTTTCATTATACATAGGTACATATTATAATTTATTTATTATTATTTAGGGATTACCAAAGTCCTATTTCTTAGTCTCCTACCACTCACTATTCTTATTGGACCTCTTTATTCAACCTGTTTTAAATGTCGTGAAACTCATTCATGATTCATTCATAAACATTTTTTTACGGTCCTGGAACAAAGTGTTTATTTTGTGTAATTGTGTGTGAGACGCCGGCCGGCGATAGTGGTTGATGTGTTTGGTGTGGAGATGAAATGGTAAAGGGACTATAATATTAAATATAAATACACTTTACAAAATACTTAATACAAGAAATCATCTTACTTGTTTTTGGCATCGCTATAGTTTAATAGTTAAGCTTACTTATCCGCCGATCAAGACTTATATAAAAATAATTCCTTATCGTCACTTGAATTTAATAACTTATCTATAAAGCTTGATGGATGATGAAACATTGTAGGTTCCATAGGCGCAATTTCAACATAAAAACTGAGGGTGCTTAAGCTCTGAATTTCCTGGGTATTTAAATTAAATTATACCTATGAGGCACTTATGACTTTTTTGAGAAAAAATGGTTTTATGACAATTTAACATTGAATAGTTATAGTGCATTAGGTACATTTTATAAAAATTAATACAATAGTAAATTTTAATTTATTAAAAATTTAAAACAAATTATTTATATTTTATTCAAAAAATATGACAAATATTAGTGTACAAGGGGTGTAACAGACAGACTTGACAAAAAAAAAAAAAATGAAGCTACTTAAATGCGTGACAAAAATTGTTAAAATTATAAAAAAACATTATAAATATTGATTAGAACAAAAGTTATTCCAAAAGTCAGTTATATCTGTACCTACTATATTATATAATTCGGCATACACAATCACACAGGCTGTCGGAAACTTGGAACTCCAGTGAACACCAACTGACAAGTAATTCGTATATCGTAATTATGTTTTTGTCCGAATTAGATGTGGGCACGGGAATGTTTCTATTAGTAAATACTCGCGATACTATAAATTGTCGTAGAGCTGAGTCGCTGCTGAACGTGATAACACTGATAATAATATAACCGACGACAACGACCGGGCTTAGTAGAAACATTGGAAAATAATGATTTATATTCTAAATAGATTTTAATTCGATAAAATTACAATTGTCGAGTTCATTGTTTCATTCATTATACTCTGATACCCTCATGTCTGATGATAAACTGTTTTTGGTTTTTTTTTTGTTGTAAAGAGAAGTTTTGATACATAAACACATATTTATTAGATGGTGCTAATTTTAAAATTGGGGGTGCTAATACCCCCTAAGCCCCCCCCCCTATTTGCGCCTATGGTAGGTTCATAAAAATATTTCAGTCTTCAGATATGTGGCAAGAGAGATATAATCCTTCGTTAATAATTGCATTCATCGTTGATGAGCGTGCGTCTATGAATCTAAAAAGTGTTATGTTGAAAATAAAAAGAACTTAAAAAAGTTAAAAAGAATAATATAGGAAAACTTTTAGAAAATAAAAATTATAACAGTAATCAGAAAAATATAAATATTATTAACGAAAGTAAAAACTAAAAACTGATGTATTATATTATACAAAATAATATATTTTGAACAAAATTAAAAAGGCAATAGTATTAATAAGAAAATTAATAACTAGGCAGCATACTATTGAGCCAGCATAATATACCTACATTATTTATTATAATATTACAATAATAAATATGAATAACTTGTTAGTGTTCGTTTATTTATATTGTGTTTGTGGCCAACACACGGTACAACAAATTAATACCAATAGTAGCCATTAGGTATATGCGTATAGTGCCGGGCCGTGCCGTGCCATGCCGGAGCCACACATATTTTGCCACCTCATACCCATGCGGCGTACTCAGGGGTAGAGGTCTAAAGTCCTGAACCCCCCTGAAATTTCTTTTTTCTACAAAGAAATCTTATTTATCACCATTTTGATACACATAGATCAATTGTTGGTCATTTTAAATAGATATAAAATAAATTGTTGAATATTACAAAGACATCGATAATCATAGTTTCTGTTGTTTTTTGGCTGATTTAGAACATCGTCCATCGATTATTACCAAGTTTATTACGGCCCGAGGAGGCCCTATAAGTTAAACACTGTAAATGTAGACTAAAGGCGGGTTTCCACTATGCACGTACGCTTGTACGTGCATACAAATCCTTTGCTGTGATTGGTTGGTTAGGTTAAGTTACCACACGATTAACCGTCGTTAATAATATTGTGTTGTTGGACATAGCTGAACATTATTCATGTACACGGCGAACGTGTATAGTGGAAACCCGCCGAAACTATAATTTGTTATATAATAATACTGTTAAGAAAAAAATAATGCAAATTATTTACTCAGATAAAAACCTAACTGAACTAAAATCCTGCGTACGCTTACTGCTCTTACCCATAAAAAAAACTATTTAACAAGAAATTAACCACCTAAGTCTTCCTGATTAAAACTATACTAATTCTAGTTTAAATCAGTCAGAGTTAAAAAGTACCTACTCAACTGAATAAAAATAATTGTATCTAAATCTAATAGCATTATTGATTAGGGTGTAGTTGAGATAGGAGAGGTGAACCACGCCGTCCAGAAGTCTGAACTAGCAGTAATTTAAATATATACAATCTACTGGCCGAAAAATTATGTAGTAGTCACAATTTAGTACTTACTATTACTGTTTCACAAACATATTAAAAATATAGGTAGTACATACTACATAAATATACATTTGAAATTATTGTTAATAGATATACAGTGTTAAGGAGAAATTATAGAGGAAATCTTTATAATTTGTGCATTCCTAAAAATATTGGTTTAGTTGCGCTAGGGACGGATCCAGGGGGGGGGCTTGGGGCCCAGGCCCTCCAGACATATTTTTTATAAATATAAATATTATATATTAATAACAAATTAATAAAATTTAAACTTCTTTTCACATTGTCGCTTTATATATTAAATAGTCAATAATTATTTTATCACGTTGATTACATATACAGTGATATACCTACCTACTATTATGAGAACATTTTTAAATTAAGAATAAAGTATACTATTTTATTATAATTGTATTTGTGTTGTAAAAAAAATGTTGCCCCCCCCCCAGATTGTTGCTCTGGACTCATCCCTGAGTTGCGCTCATGTCCTAGTGTGAGGCCTTTTATAGCCGTAAGTCATAACTCATAACTCATAACATAAGAAAGAGATGTGATTAATAATTAATATAGAAAATCATATATTGTTAATTGCTTTATTGTAATAATTATATAGGTACTCATGTATTTATTATTTTAGACTTTTTCCTAGTGTAGGACCTTTTTTATCGGGACTTTTTTTCCGTCAGTAGATTATATTATTATAACGACGACGGGATAAAATAGTTTGAATGGGTTAGCAATTTAGCATTAACTATTAAATATTCATTGTGAAATTAATGTAAATTAATGTAAAGCCAGAAGACGTAATAGATTTGTTTACTAAACAACATTATAGGCGTTTACAATTCTGTTTATTCTGTAGCCTCTAGGTGAGTACAATTTTTTTTGTATACTTACAAATGTTTTTAATTTTATACTAGTATACAACTAGGTTAATATACCTATTCTGATACATTTTATACTATTAGTACACCTATATTTATTGTTAATTTTAATTAATAAATCATACATTTATAGGTACCTACCTACAACCTACTAATATTTGTTTTTACTTTTTGTTATAAATATGTATTTAATATTTTTTTATAATGTTGCCGATCCCCCCACCCAAAAAAAAAAATCAACAAAATCCTAAGTCTGTCACCGTAGCAGTTAAATGGGTTGCTAAATCATATAATATAAGTAAAATATGGTTTATTATGTAGGAAGGTACTTTAAAAATTAAAGTTACAACAGTATAGAACACTGAACAGAAGTCTGTACCGTTGTCCGATGTGGTTATAAACGTATAAAATACATAGGTAATATCATGACTAAATAGATTGACATGACTATTTAGTCATGGGTAATAAATTATTATAATTAGGTACATAAGTTCATTAAACGATGAGGCGTTTTTCTATTAATGTACCAACGTCAATGTGCAAAACTGACACTGTCAGCGGCATGGGTGATGACTGATGAGTCATACAATATTTAATAACAATAATAAGCAATAACAACATTATTCAAATGTTCGATGATAGCCAAGTTGTTATTTGTTATTATGTGTTTCAGACGTTTTGGTTTTCAGTGTTTTCACTCTTCAGTGTTCATCCTACACTCTACAGGCTACGACTCGCGCCCAATCACGCGTTATCACTGACCAGACATTTCAAATTTCGATTTTCAGCGTTTTCCGTCCGTGCGAGGTCAAGGAACGCGAACCGAGTCGTTACGAAACATTTCACAATATTCGATCTGCTGTGATAACGTCGCTTTCATTTCTAGTCGACAGTCGTAAGCGTAACTCTTAACAACCGTAAGTCAGTTGTCACTTGTCTTGAATCTTGACCACAACGGCAATCGACGCCGATATTTTTGGATTTTGTTTTGTGCTTGGATCTACTCCCGGAAAAATGGCCGGTCCGGGTGAAACCGCCGAACTCTACGGTCGCGTGAAAGCCGCCACGGACAAGTTTTTCGTCACTCTGCGCGAAGCCAGGAATCTTGAGACCCAAGGCAAAACGAATCTGGTAAGTCCGTAGTTATTCTAATATTATAATGTTGAACTCAGTAGCGTATCTTGGATTTTTTCAAAGGGGGTGGGGTATAAAATGTTTAATAGACATTTAGTATACACATATTATATTCATATTTAATATATACATGTTGTATTGTGTACAAAATTTGGTCTCCGTAGGGGGAATTGAACCCCCCCCCCCCCTCATAGATACTCCACTGATTGAACTGTACTTACTGATATCTGTTTGTAGGCTTTGCTGGAGTACGAACAGTGTCTGAACATCATCGACAATGTCTTCTCGGTTCCACTGACTCATCCGACCGACCTGAGTCTTGAATGGACAGAGGTTGACAACATACTACAGTACTTGAAAACTGAAAAGTAAGTGAACAGAAAAAAATCACAATTTACTTGTACTGTAACGACATGTTTGTTTCAGAAAAGAGATTTTAAACCGTATCGTTGAGCTGCAAAGGGATAGTGGTTCTAACATGGCCGTTGACTGCCGGCCAATGCAAAGTCCTCCATCATATCAGGAAGCCACACGGTCAGATGAAGAACAATCTTATATTTCAGAACCTCCAGTTTCATACAACCAGTTATCAGCAATGCTCAATGATTTACGTGTCGACATCGAACAGAGTTCAATGGCAATCCTATTAGTTAGCTGTGATAATTCACAAGTATTTTTCATTGCTGCTGATGGTCAAGTAACATCACCATCAGAGAAATCAAATGTTAAAATTTTTATGCTCGAAGGTTACTACATATTACATTTTATTTAACTTAATTATTATTATGTCTTAACTTATTTGAGAATATTATAACACTATTTTGTTTAGGTACAAATGCAGAAAGCACACGGCGATATTTCCTTTGTATTGAGGATATTTACTATCCACTTATCGCCAATGGTTCACCATGTCTACGAACAGAGTTTGGGGCATTCTTATTTCCTGATATTGAAAATAGAGACTCTGCTATTGGTGTGTTAGTCCTTCCAGAACATTTGGAACTTTTTACAGATGTATTAGAAGATATACTTAAAAAATCATTGAGAAAAGAGTCTGGAAAGGCCCGAGAAAGAGGTCACAACATCTCAGCACACATTGTTAAGGGAGCTACTTTTCTATCAAACGGATTAGTGAAAGGGGCTGAAAAAACAACAAATTTCATGAACAACTCTACTCCTGGTTTACTCAATTATATTAAACCTTCTCAAAGTGATACAAATGTCTGCTCTCCCATGAAAAAAGGTGTTAAAGTTGCTAAAAATGTGACGGGTACGGCTGCAGATGTAACATGTTATGTCGGTATGATATAATACATCAATTATTAAGACTAAGTTTCTTAATTTTAAATTAATATGAAAATGTTTTTATTAAGCTGGAAAAATAGGTACAGCGTCATGTGTCGTTGGAAAATTCCTTGCACCACATGTTCATAAAGGTGGAACTAAGATTTTGACGGGTGTTACTAATATGGACAAAAATGAAGCTTCCCAGAAAATGACAAATGTATTTGATATAGCGGCAGGTGCAATTGAAGGTTTTAGCATTGTCTATGATGGACTTGAAAAATCTGGGATAATGCTGGGTAACAGTATTTCAAATAATACTGTTCTTATAGTTCATCACAAGTAAGCTAAGATATTATAATATATTATAACTGATGGAATATTTGCAATTTCAAAAAATATTTTTATAGATTTGGCAATAACGTTAGTGAAGTGACTCAGGACACATTTGACACAGTTGGCCATGGGTTACGATTCACTAGAAGTGTAAAGGAGTTAGGTCCTAAAAATATTGTAAAATCTACTGTTAAAGAAACTGGACGTGCCATGATGGTACCAGAAAATGATTAGAATATCTTCTGTGACTATGGAACCTATAGGTATGAAACCTTTCTGTGATTAGCATTTTTATATCTTTATTGTTGTTAATTTCATAATTTGATTATCAAATAATCAAAATTATTTTTATAGAAAAATAGTTAAGTTACAAAAAAAAATATGTTGGTGTCATAGATGTATTATTATAATTATTATTTTTAATGTTACTTCTCAAACAACACATTTTTAGTAAATCTTAGTAGTATATTGCTTATAAATCAAACTAGTGCAGATACTATGAATTATATAGTTGAAACTTTATAGTTTATACAATTTTATACTGGATTTGGATTGTTACAAATATTATTGTTGGTTATTGGTAGATATTTTTATAAAATACATTAAATTAAATTGTTTATGAAATTTGTGTTCTTTTTCCTTCAACATAACTTTTTTTTAGAATTGTAACAATAAATTGTTAACCAGAGATGAATTTTAATGAATTTTATCTTGTTTACAATTTCATTATAGTTATGTTGTTACATCCAGTTTTTATCATAATTTGTGTACAGAAGCACATTTTAACTTGGTATTTTTAAAATTATGTTGGAATATATAATATAAATGATACAGGTGCTTATATTAATTCTTTTCAAGCTATATATTTTTATTCTGACAATATTTTCTCCTATTATTTATATTATTTTATAAACATTATTTATTATATAATATTTAACATTTAGTTTAAATAACTCTAAATAATTTAGAAAGTTACAACATTTATTTCAGTTTAGCCTAACACATATTATCTATATTGAAATTCTCTTAATGTGTTGAACCCTTATCTTCTTTTAAAAGAAAATAAACATAAACATCTCCTTCAGGTGTCTTCACTATTTCTTTATATGAAATCATAAAAACGGCAGAGAAACCATACAAAAGCAATGGTATACCTGAAAAATTACATTATTTATTAATAATAAAAAGTCTTAAAAAACCAATACTATGGGTTATTTTTCAAATACTACATTTCTAGAATACAAATTTTTAAACAATATTTTGAATAAAACCAGTTATTTGTATTAAATGCATGAAAAAACTAAATAGCATGCCTCATCTATAAGTAGCAAAATGTATTAAATAATTAAATTCAAATTGAAGAAATTAAAAAAAATATATAAGAAATAAAAATGGCGTAAGGTATTATTTATTGCAATTTCAGTGGAATAATTTAATGATTAAAGTTCAATTGATAAAAATAATCTACATATTAAAAGAAATTTAATTTTAATTTTAAGCTGAGGCAACTTATAAAAGAAAAATGGGGAAACATTAATTTTCATAAAATAACATATTATAACCAATATTAATTACCTAATAGTTTATCATGATCCACAATATTGCATTATATATTATGCATATTATGAAGTATAAATGGAATACAATAAATAATTTCATAAAGTTAATTGGATAAAAATTAAAAACCTACCAGTCTGGCTTATGAATTTTTTTCAATAAATTGTACCATGAATCATGGATAACATTTCTTACAACAACTATAACACTGATATTTATTAATCGGTAAATTATTATGGTGTTAATATTCAAACTATTAAATATTTAAATCTGAGTACGACGAAAAAATATATAACGTCTTGGGCTTTCGTGCAACCGTTTAATGCGAATCGCAAATCACAAAAGCGTTGTATAGCCGTAAAGGCCCTAGAACCGTTAGTTCTCTAAACCGTCAGTCGCTCACCCAGGTTGACGATCTTTAAAATATTAAACAATCGGTCCTCTACTCGCAGGTCTTCGTACGGCCTTTTGGTGCAATGGTACTTTATGTATGGGAAACAGCCGGAGCGTAAAATGTGATAGTTTGAGTCACCAGTTTTCCAATTGAAGTGCGACCGACCCCTCTGGTCATCGATCACCGAAGTGTATTTAACGAAAAATGACGTCCACGGTGGCTCGTCAGTTTGTCGCAAATAATTCGTGAGCACGGTCGAGGCCTGAGGGAGCCGATGCCGTCCGATCAAATTTTGCAAAACTTTCGACATCATCTTTCGTCACGGACGACGGACACACGATCGTTGTGATAACGCTCCTAGCCATAGATAAAAGATAAAGTGAAGCTCAGCTGTGGACGGCCGCCATTTTGTCGGTTTGCAAAACATTATTTTTCATTCATTAAATACAAAATGCATTTGGAAAAACATAGTTTTTAATGGTAAAATAAAATAGTAAAAGTAAAATTATTTATATAAAATATATATATATTTTTTAAAAGACAATAGGTTTAGAAATAATAAAATACCATACAATTGCCAACCGACCTTGAAGCTTCAATTCATGGCGGGAGTTTGCTATCTAATACTATATAGAAATCTGTGTATACAGTATCTACATAGGTCATAGACCACGGGGGATTATATAATTTGTCCAAACTTGAACTTCAAATAACTATAAAAATAACAGTGTTTATATTTATTTTTTAGATATTTTTAGTTACAGTATGAACTACTAACGTGGAGCCTTATTTTAAATTTTTAATCCTTAGTTATAATTGAATTAAGTTTTTAAGTGCAAAATAATTTGTACATTTTCAATATGATAAATTTTATCGAAATTTAACCTTAATTTTAAATGCTTACCTATACAAAAATCTAATTCAAATCTATTAAAAAACTTCTAACTCAAAATAATTTGCAAATGTTTGTGATTTTTACGAATTTTGTCAAAATTTTAACTTCAGACGCTCATAAAAAATTATTGAGGATTTACACTCACCTTTTTTTTAATTTCCACTAACAATAACCTACGAGGAGTCAAGGGGTTATGTATGACGTATCACATTTTCAAGTTTTTAATCGACCGAACATGTTTTTATCGACATTAATTTGAAAAAAAAATTATAATTAAGTTTCGAAAGTTTCATATGCCTAAAAATAGCTCAACATGAATCAAAATATTTTGAAAATGTTAGTGTTTATAGAAAATGGTAATATAAACATTCAGTGATAATGTCATGTATCTACGGTAATTTTTTAAGAGTTCCACTTTACACCAAATTAAAAATCGATTTGGTTGAAAACTGCATAAAAATTCCCGTTTTTCATTCATTTTTGTTTTCCCCCGCTTTTGAAAACTACAGGTACACTTACCCATCGGAAAACATACTGAAGTTGAAAATCGAAGCTTATTGTTTCGACTTCTTAAGTTGTATCGTCGCTTAAGCATTATCGCGTACAGTGTACACAAACAAACAATTTCAAAATAAACACACTCGCCCCGCTCAGAATCTAAAAATAGTTCTGTTTTAATTGCGTGGTTTATCAGTGGAGGTAGGAAGCGATCTTCGCATACGACAATACAGCTGAGTATTAGCATAGAACATTAGGTCTATTAATTTATATCATCATATTATAATATCAATCATCCATGGCAAACGCCAATTAGGTATCTATCATTCGTCGATTCACAATTCTAATAATTTCTTATTTCAATGAACAAAAAAAATATTAATACCTAAGCCAAAAATAAACGCACAAGTTATTTTGCTAAAATACAACGCTACTCCTCCACCACAAAAAGCTCGAACTCCGGAATTTCTGCCTAGAGGCAGCGGCAGGATAATTAATTTTAAAAATTTCTATAGACTTGTGGACTAGTTTGTATGGTTAAATTTGGCATACGACAAACAACTGAAATAGAAAACCAGATAACATTGCAGATCACAAAGGTGTGTCGAGACAACTACAGTTGAAAAGTTAGCATTAGGAATACTATTTTTACTAAGTTATATGATTTTGACCAAATAAAATATAATATGGGTCTAAAATTATATTCGATCATAACTCATAACCAATAGCAACCTTAAGCAATAAACAAATATATATTATGATAGATGGTGCAACTATAGTATTTTTGATTTCAAGATTTCTGACTTTTCCGTGGGATTTTTCTAAAATTTTCTTTCATACAAACCTTTTTCTGACAATTACGAACACAACAAAAAATGAATCAGCCAAATCGGTCTCGTAGTTTCTGAGATTAGCCGTTTTAAAGTATAAAAGTAGTTGCCAATGAATTTTTTTTTCATTTATTTAACTCTAGTTGATTATTTTGTATAATATTTTGTTAAAACGTTGACCACCAGCTGATGACCTAGGTCAACCTAACCTGGCCCCTGAATAAGTGTATGAATGTACCAACTATATAATTTAATCTACATTTTTTTTATTGCTTCACAAAATATTAAAATGTGTTTGCCTGAGGGTTAACACGTTTTCCTTCCATTTTTTTTTTTCATCAATTTAACTCAATTGATTTTTTAGTATAAATATTTTAAACTGCGTGTCAGCTATCTCGAGGAGATGTCTGAAGCGTTCTTCAATAAGCTAATTATTTTGGGGTAATAATTTGGATTTAGGAATCTGGAGATTGTAGACTGCAGTTTTTAGTGTGTGTTCCTATATCCTATTATTGTATAATTTGTTCTACATTTTCTTTTGCTTCTTAAAATACATTTTCTATTATAACTGACTATATTTTTTAAGCTTTGATCACTCGGTGCCATGCATAATCTTTCCTTAATGAACTAATTACTATCAATAATTATTGAATCGTTGTGTTCAACTGAATTTCAGATATACTTGTATTTGAATGCGTATATACAATATCGGATATAATAGATGTACAAACCTATCTCATAATATTTCTCCGTTCACTGAGAAAATGTGGTTATTCCACGCATTCTAATGGATCTAAGAAATGAGAATTAGGTGGTTGATGCGGGGTAAGACCTGTCTTGGATTATGCCACTAGCTGTATGTCGCGAACGAAATAATATATACTTGCAATGAGCTGAAATATTTTTTTCTGTGTTTGTTTATTGAAACCACTTCAAGGTCTTTGTTAATGCTTATCACAATTCACAAGTGGGTAGTAGGGAGATCATTTGGTCTATTTATCTATATGTAGTATATAGATCACTATATGCATGATACTACCCCTTCTCCAAGAGGAGGCATGTGAGGTCTTCACTCCTAGTATAGTGGGACCTATTTGGAAACCGGATGATGCAATTGTACGGGAAAATGGCGATCGCGTAGAACCACACAAATTGTTATTTGTTTGCACTTTGCTATGAATCGAACCGATGACTGTGTGAGTGGCAGTTAATTGCTTGACCACTGAGCTACTCTGGCCTCAAATGTAGTTATGGACAATATTAAGCACTTCAGTATTGTACTTATTTTGCCTATACAATTTGCCGGGCCACACATTTTGTTTGTGTGAAAAATGTAAAACAATTAATAACATTATATTGTTCTATGATTATATTCTACTATAGTATAGTAACTATAGTCTATAAGCTATAGCTGATTCTATTAGGTACCTGTTTCTCGATGTATTATAGTAATGACTAATGACCATGACTATTATTTGTTTGCTCTCATTTTTAAGTTCATTGTTTGATATCTGTTTTTTAGTATTAATTTCTATCTTTAACCAATAATCTATGATGATCTTTTTATACCTCTGCATTTAATTGTATTTAGTATTTTTGGTTTATAATTCAAAATTGACTACAGTCTCCAATATCCAGCTTAAAAAAACAATATAATTTTGTTTGCTTCATAGAATTAATATATCTCCGATAGTCTGTGGATCTCTATGAATTTAATTGTTTGCATTCTTAAAAAGTGTCAATAATTTTTATACATTTTCTAAATCATGAAAGCAATGGCGATAGCCGATAGATGACCTCTGGCCATATTTTTTCGCTTATTTTAATTTTAATGTATATAATAGTATTTGATTTGTACAAATTGACTGCAGTTAAAACATTTTTTTTTGCTTCTTAAAATGCTTTTGCTTGTTAGCCCATGTTCCATTTAACATTTTTTTTTTTTTGTAAATTGAACTAGTTGATTTTTTTGTATAAATTGTTCAAACATTGACAACCTGGTGACTTCTGAATACGTTTATCTAGTTATCTAGTTGATGACAGGTTTTTTTTATTATTTTAATTTGAAAGCAAGTTTTGAGCATTTTAAAATAGTAAATTGTTTGCATATTTTAAAATTTCTTTTTTACGCTTTTCCCCGTTTAAGTACTGGGAGTTTTCAACTTTAACCTCTCAAAAGCCTCTTCAGAATCTAAAATGATATTATTTATTATATTCTATGATAGTATAATACTATGATGTGAAACACGATTATGATAAATAATTACAAATGTGATAATATTAATAGGTATTAATGTATTATAATATTATCCAATCTCCACGTCAAGTTCAATATGATAAACACAATTACATTTACTCGAACGCAACATACAACAATAATTCCCCCCCCCTAGATATGCCTTTGCATCTGGAAGGGCCAATCGTTGGTTGATGAAAGCAACGGGCTCAAGAAGAGGAAACGCAGGCCCAAGTCGTTGCTTCGGGTAGACCATATAGGCATGAATAGGTAAGTGCAGTATTTCATATTGTTTTTTTCATCGATCTATACATTTTGATTTGGTGTAGACGTGTAGTACTCATCGACGATCGACATTATAATATTATTCTTAGTAGTACCTATACCTCGGCAGCTATATTGTAACGATTGATGACTGCGCCCATAACAAAATAAATTGAAACTACCTATATAGGTAGGTTAGTAGGTTACCTGTACGACGATTCGGCGATGAGGTGTGATACATATTCAACATATACGTACGTAATTTTAACTAATAATAAATAAATACAATGTTGAATATTGTACGTCATACAATTATTACAAAGTGGGATAGGTCTTAATTTATTTATTATTTATCATAATAATAATAATAATAATAATAATAATATAGTACCACAGAATAGATGAATTTAATAATATGATAGTACTACTACTACACTATAGTTGTACACCTTGATTACAAACAATAACAAAAACAACCGTTGTCCCCTCCACCACCCGCCGACCATTGTTCGTACGTCGTACGCCGTGCTTAATGTTTATGATCCGTCAGCTGATTACCGACGACCATCGACTGATTACGCGACCGAGTT